TTTTTTTTTTTTGCCCTTTTGCTCCCATGGTTTCCCTTTCTATATCGTGTGTGTACATGGATAATTCTAGTTACAGTATGGAAACTTTTCCTTGGATAAATAGAACATATGTTGGTACATGAAAAAAAAAAAAATCCAATCTTTAGATACTGCATAATCGAAAGATCTGTTTTTTTTTTTTTAATCTCTTTTGTCATTTACCGAACTATTTCTTGTGATGATATGGTCCTCATCTAAGTACCAGAGTTCTCAAACGGCTATTGGCATCTGTTCCCGCTTGTTTCGAGCTATTGATGAGGAAATGGAAAACGGTGTTTCACCTAGCTGTGAAGTTCGCCAGGCTGGATGCTTTTCGATAGTTGGCCCTAGTTTTCGAGAATAAAAGGCCTCTTTTTATCAACCGGATAAAAATGGCAACACTTGCTTACACCTTGCCATCTCAAGGGGTCACAATGAGGTAACTAAGAAACAGATATTGTTCGTTCCCCATCATATGATTAACCTCTTTTGGTATTGATTCTTTACAATAAAGTGACGAAACAAATTTCCCATTTTACTGTTTCAATTAGGAGTTCTTTTAGGATTCTGTTGATCTAAAGTGAAACCTTGTTTGGTTAGGGTTCGACTATTGTAAGTGTGTGCAGTAGGTCTTGCGTGCGGGCAGGTTATGAACATAGATAAGTAGAAAAAGCATAGAAAATATAGTGATTGATCCATAAATACTACATACAACTGTATTTAGGATATCTCAAACAAGTTTATCAAGGCCAAACAGAGACTGCAGCAAACATAATATAAGCAAAGGAAAGCACAGTAAATGATCTAAACCAGATTCTAACACCAAACAGAGCCTACATAATAATCGAGACAGCAATTACAGCCACACAACAGAAGACAATTCGTGGGCCCACAAAGAAAGATCGTGCTCCCGATTTCGGAGATGGTGCAGGGGATACATCTCCCGGTGGGGCTCGATAATCCGAGTGCAGGGCCATCACCTCCACCATTAGCCGCTGCCCGTTTTTGCAGTGATTCGGGTCGGCACTAGTGAAATAAACCGGGCCGGGTCGCTCCAGCTTGATCACCGTGTTCCCGTCCTTGAAAACTGTTACGGCACGGCTCGAGTTACAGTGGTAATATCCCCACTTGTCGACAACTGCCACCGTGTCGTTTTCGTACTTGAAATCTGTTTTTTTTTTTTTTCAGCAGCAGCAAATTTCAACCATATGAAGATCAAGAAAATGTGTAAAAGTTAAGAGCATGCAACTAAATTGATTTAGAATTTTTTTTAACTCACGAAGAGAATCTCCGACGTGGAATCTCAGGGTGGCAGCCCAGCGGGCGTACGTGTCGGTCTCGTTGGCGGCCGGCAGCCGCCAGCTGTCCTCGCCGCCGACCTTGAACTGCTCGGCCGAAGAGCTTGTGATGAAGAGTGTGAACAGAGTGAAAGCTGCAGAACAGGCCACCAAGATGTTAGCCATTTTCATGAGTTTTTGAGTTTGATCTATGCTTTTGCAGTTGATTATTATGGCAGGAATAAAAGGCAATAACGTTGTTTTTGGTTTTGGATTATGATAATTTAATGCATGTATGGGATGTTAAAAGGGGTTTTTTCTGGTTGTTTTTTCAAAAATTCGAAGTAACTGGCAGTAGACGTGGTGAAAACAGAATATGGCGGTTATTGGTAGTTGAGGGTCGTGGATAGAATCTGCATTTAACTTGGTACGGCCCAAGATACTTTTGGTGTTAATGGATTGGGATTTTAGTTAGGCCCAATATGACAGTCCAGGCTGTTATGGGAGACTCGTACAGGCCGAATAGTTTTTATGAATATCATATATAATGGTTTATTGCGTCTTGTTGTACTGAATTGATTGTTTTTCCTTATGCTGTATGATGGTTTAGTATGTGAGGTATATATTTGGGTTATGTTATATTTAAGTTAATGAATATTACGATGCTTATTTGATTCTAAGGGCATGCTTGTTTATAGATTTTTTTTTTATTGGTTTTTTTGGTTAATCATAGTTAATTTTAAAAAGGTTTGTTGAGTTAGGTTTGAGTGTGATTTTATAATAATATTTAAAATAAAATGATTAAAGTTGATTTGATATAAAAGTAATAGAAATATGTGAAAATTATATGTAGTTAAGATGTGAGTGGACATAGTGAATTAAAATTGATTTGATTTGTAATAATGATTGATTGATATTATCTAATTATATTAATAACATTACTGATAGTGGGGTTAAGTTAAAGTTGAATTAAATTTGAGTTTTGATTTTTTTTAATATATATATATTTTTTTGGCTTTATAATTTTTCTTTAACTATGTAACAGCCTGAATTTTGTATTTTTTCAACAGACGTCTTACATTTTAGGTCATTCTCACTTTAAGGCTTACATTTTAATTAACTTTTCATTATAAGGTCCAACAAACTTTACCTTTTCATATAAATATGTAAAACAACTACTATGTGAATAAAAGTAATATTATTATTATTATATTGTAATTTATATTTTGCATACTTATAATAAAATATAATAAATATTTTTAGTAAAATTATATTAATAAAAATTAATTTGAACTTCTCTTTTTGGAAGCAAAAGTTGATACCATGTCATTACTTGTTAAAAATCATATATTTTTGTAGATTGCATTTATGTATTATTTTTTAGTTTTATTACATATTTATACTATTAATAAAATAATATTTCCATTTACATATTTTTTGAATTCACTTATCATTTTTTTAAATTATCCATAATCAAACTTTTGCATAAATATAATTTACATAGTTTCACTTTATTATTAAGTAAATATTACTAAAGATATTTATTATAAGTATGTAAAATATAACTAAATATTTATTTTTTTGTTCACATAACTAGGTTATAAAATAAAGTTAATTGGTTCACATATTTGTATCACATATAAAGTTAATTGGGCCGTACAATGGAAAGTTAAGTAAAAAGTGAGCCTTAAATTGAAAATAACCTAAAATATAGGTTTTTTATTGAAAAAATAAAATTCAAGCCTTAAATTGATACAATATCAAAAAGTTGAGCCTTCTAATGGAATTTTCCCGATTTTTTGAATGCTTGTTTTCAGCACTTTCATTTTGCAACTTGTGTGCAAGACATAGTCATACAAAGTTGGACAATCGATTAATTAAAAATGTAGTTTTAATTATAAAAATAACATTTCTTGTCCTGGTTTTTCTACACAGAGAAATTTTTTTCTCTTCCAAAACATCTAAAAATTTGTGGTCCCATTGTTGTCGAACTTACAAATTGTGGTCCACTGTAGCGGCTATGAACGACAGATATGCCAATCCTTCAATTTTTTTATTTTTATTTTATTTTGTAAATATTATTTTAATTTAGATTCAAATTTTTACTCAATCCTAACCAAACATACTTTTTTTAAATTTTACTCTGGTTAACCAAAAAATCAACTAAAAAAAAAACCCCTTATGAACAAGCAAGCCTTAAACGCCAAACATGAAGTCCACAATTTTCGAAACCGCTGATTTAGCCGGCATGGCCATGGTCCCGGTTGGTTGCCGAGCACTCAAGCTTCTGCTAGAAAAATAGGAGGAATAAGGGTTGACTTTGAATCCATTAGTTTCGGAGTTTTGACTTGAATTTGCAGGGGGTAATGTGAAGAACCCATTACTGTTGAGCCTCTCGTTCAGTGCATGGCACTGCCTGGGGTCCACAGGCTTCACCTCAATGACGATAACCCCATTTATTTCCATGCCATTTTTGCCGAGTGCTTTTTGCACGTCAGATCGATTCTGAAATGTTATTGGAAATTCAGTGGTACTTCATTGGCATTCATTTGGAACATAAATGCTTCTGATAAATATATACAGCATAGGTTTTTGATTAAACATGAAAATATAGAGCTCGTTGTATCATTTGAAGAATAATGGGACATCATTTGGCATGCCCCGGCAGATAATCAAGTCGATAATGTTTAATAAATAGCATGATGCAAGATGCAAGACAACATGCTGTGAAAGTAGCAAAAGAACCTTATATAAATACAGCTTGTGAAAGTTGCAAAAAGAACCTTATATAAAATGTGCATCCAATTAGCATCTCTTGGACCGGGAACGTGTTTGAGGATCACCCCACATTTCTCAAACTCCCACAAAACAAGATTCGTATCTGCTGGCGAAAACCTGGAGATAAAGATTTGAAATAAAAATTATAACTATATTAAATTACTAACTAAGCATGACACAAAAATAGCTTCAAATTCAAGAAACTTTAAATGAAACTCCACAGAGGAGTAATTGTAGTGCCACCATAGCATAAGCTCGGTTTGGCATATCCATTCAGCTGTTCTCTCATTCTGTTCCTGAAAAAAGCAGCAGCAGAATCTATATTCTCCAACACAAACTTTTCGCATTTTCTCAAGCTTAGAAAAAATCTTGAAAATACTATTAGCAAATGCGTGAGAGACCACATTTAGCCATTAACAAAGACATCTATAAATCATACTGCGGACATTGGAAATGCCAAAAGCCACACACCAATCCTTAGTCCACCACTAAACATATAAAAGATCGCACCAAGACTAAAACAAACGAAAAGGGCAAAACAAATAAAAGAATGAAGCAGTACCCGTAAACAGTAACCCACTCCTCCTCGTCTAAATTCCCAACCGGCACCAAAATTCTCTTCACCTCCGGCCTTGCTACTTCACTAGCCGGCGGCAGCATAATCAAGGCACCGGGCTGCACCACCCCTTCAACAGGCGAACCCTTATCCTTATCATCCTCCGGCTCCGTGATGCCTCCGCCATTACTGCCGCCACTCTTGGCTGGCGACCACCAGCTCGAGGTCACCTGCTGCTTGCTTTTCCCGGCAAATGAGGTGCTCACATCAGACTTGCTCTTGGGAGTCGAGAAGAACTCAGGGGACACCGGATAGTCTGTAATACCCGACTCCGGGGAAAGATCATAACGGTCCTCGAGCGTGAAGACGGGC